ATTCCCCAGCAATTCCCAGTTTGGAGCATCCTTCCAGGCTCATTCACACCTTCCCCATTCCAGCAATTCCCAGTTTGGAGCATCCTTCCAGGCTCCCTTTCCCGTGACACCTGCACTATTCCCACCCCAATTCCCAGCTCCGAGCCTCCCTTTCCCATGAACATCGCCCCCATTCCGCCTCCTCACCCCATCCCCGCCTCAATCCCCGGCTCCGCGGGGGCCCAGTCTGGCCGCGCTGCCCCCGCGCTCCCTGCTCTCCTCCCGCCGCGAATTCCTGATTGTATTCCCATTTCCGACCTCCCGCCGGTCCCTCCGGCCCTGCCCGCTCCTCACATCCCGTCACCTTGCCCTCCGCATCCTCCCGGGGGTCCCCCGCGCCCCCTGCCCGGCCGCGGGAGCGCGGCGGTGACCGAAGCGCTGACTGCGCCCGAGCCCGCGGCTGCGGCGCTCCGGTTTCATCCCGCAGGACGCTGCTGCCGGGGAAATCAATCCCCGCCGCGCTCTGCCGCTGCCCCGGCAGCTCGGGGTATTTTTAGCCCCGGAAGAGCGAGCGGAGCCCGTCCCGGGGGGCGCAGCTGCCGCGGCCCCCGCGCTGCCCGCTCCTCCCGGTGATCCGCCCGGAGCCCGGCCCCGTCCCGGGGAAATTCCAGCCGCAGGGACGGGGAAGGGGCCGGGGAGCCCGGCCCGGTCCCTGCGCTGCCGGGCCTCGTGCCGAGCTGGGAATGGATCCTGCTCCCAGCGGCTCCCCCGGGGACACCGAGTGTGTGGGACGGGAATTTCGGGGTGATCCAGAGGGGATGAAGCGCCCCAAAACCCCGGGAACGGGCGGGTGGGAGGGTGGGAGGTTCCATCCCAGCCTCGCCGGCGGATCTTTCCCATCCCCAACACCTTCCCTCACCCTGTGCCGGTGCCCTCGTGTGCTGAGGACCTGCAGGGGATGTGGAATCCCAAAATCCTGGAATGGTTTGGGCCAGGAGGGACCTCAAACCCCACCCAGTCCCTGCACAAGGACACGTCCCGCTACCCCAGGCTGCTCCGTGTGCCACCCTCGGACACTCCCGGGGACGGGGCAGCCCGGCCGCGCTGGGCACGCCGTCCCCGCCGCTGCCAGCCCCTGCCCCGTGCCCGGCCGGGCGAGCAGCGCCGGAGCAGCCCCGGGGCGGCACACGCGGCTCCCATTAACCTGGGCTCATCCCTCGCATTATCCTGAATTATTGATGGGCGCCATTAGAGCGGGGAAGTGGCCAGGAAAGGCTTTCGGCTGAGTGGGCACATTTGCAGTGGCAGCCGAAGGTATCTGAGCTGAGCAATTACAGCCCAGATTCAAAGCGGCCCCTCGGCCCCATCCCTCCCTCCCCCGGAGGCTGCGAGGGATAAATAAATCATGAGGCAGCACCCGGGCCCTGGGGAGGGCCGCAATGGGGGGAACGGGGGAATTAGAGCAGCACCCCCCCTCTCGGGGTGGTTTCTGGCAGCCCCCCGGGCTTTGGCGGGGGCCGGGCTTTGGTTGCAGCAGATTTTTTCCGGAACAATTCCCCCGGAGGGTCGGGAACGCGTCCAAGGGAGTGCTCGGAGAAGGCAGCCCCGGGTGCAGGTGGGGACCCTCGGCCCTGGGCCGTGCCCGCATTCCTGGGCACCGGCTGTGCCAGCAGCGGGGCTGCCTCCACCTGCCCGGCCCGCGGCGGCACGATCCGGGGAGATCGGGGGGATCCGGGGGGATTTGGGGGGTTCCAGAGGGATCCAGGGGGTTCCAGAGGGATCCAGGGGGTTCCAGAGGGGTCTGGGGGGTTCCAGAGGGATCCTGGGGGGTTCCAGAGGGATCCAGGGGGTTCCAGAAGGATCCAGGGGGTTCCAGAGGGATCCAGGGCCACAGGGGTCCTCTCCCCATCCCAGCAAGGGATGGCTGCTGTGTTTGCAGGTTTCCTTTCCTCCACACCCAAAATCCCTCTCAGGGAAGAGATGAGGG